ATGTGTGTAGCTATATAGCTAAAAAGGTAAAGACAGGGTTAAGTCCAACATTGTCCCTCCTCCGTTAATTATGTCTTGTATCTGCTGCTGCTGCTGCTGCCACACCAACTCCGCTGCTGCCTGTGCAGAAAAGGCAGCCAGTTCTGAACAACTCTGTCCAGACTTTGCTGTTCCCTGTCACCAAATCCATCCCCAGCTTTCTGCAGCGAGTAGGGAAAGAATGAGGAAAGAGGAGGAAATAAGCCGTCTGGTAACACCCACCTTGCAGATCCTGGTATCCTTAGCCTGTGCAGCCAAAGATGCTAAATCCAACGCCTACTTCACACACACACTCAGCATCATCTTGCCTGTGAAAGTTAATATTTTAACCAGCAGGTGCAGGGCCAACTCTGTGCTATTGTGTCTCTGTGTGCTAGTGTGAAAGTGTGTATTCTTCTCCCACCCTTTCTTCTGGGCTTTGATTTCATGACGTCCCTGTTCCAGCTCCGCATTGGTTTGTGTGTGTGTATGTTTTGTGTGCATGTATGTGTCTTCTAGCACCGTCATGGATCAGCTGAGGAAAGTCACACACTGTCTATTGTCTGTGAGCTGAAACTTGTCTTGGAATATTTCTGGGAACCCAAGGGAGAAAGACATTTGGTCCTCTGGTGGAGCCACAGATGAGTTTTTCCTACTGGGATAATCTTGTCATTTGCCACTGCAGCACTTTGGAAAGTGACTTCTATAGAAAACTGGGAGCAACCTTTGGATTTCTCCGCTTGTCCTGGAATAGCAATAGAGGAGAGAATCTGAACGTGGGCTAGATGTGTGGCTGGTGACCTGAAGGTCACTAGGGTAAAAGTCACCTGTCTCAACCCGCACTCTGCGCACCACCAAAGCAAAGAAACAGGAGTGAAAAAGCCACCTAAGTTTTCTTTTTTCTACTTTGGTCCTGGATATTGGAGCTGGTAACTATGTCACAGCCAACAGAGAGGATGCATTCGAAAAAAGCAGGCATCCGTGCAGCTGTGGTTTTAATTGGATTGCTACACAAATCGCGGAGACAGATCCGAGAGCGAAGGTAAACCATAGAAACCGTTACACCTCTTTCTATCCTTATTCCATGTATTCCTCGTGCTGTCTTGGCCACAGAGAGTTAATGCTGTGGGAGTTGCTGTTATGTGTTAGGCTCACCTTGCGGTCTCTCTGTGTGGCCCATGCATGCTGTGTAGCAAGCAAGAGTTTGCAATGACTTATTGTGTTTGCACAATGAATGACTGTGGGTTGTTGAGGAGGTAGTGAAAACAAGAGTGGGAGCACAAGCATAGTGTGAAACAAAATCCAGGACCTGCTGAGGCTGGATATCTTAAAAGGCAGCAGGGAAACAATAAGTCATTAGTACAGCAGTGTGTAGGGAGAGATAAACAGGGATGCAAACAAAACAGCTTAGTTAGCATCTCAAAATAAGTTTTACAAGGGTATAAATTAAGGTCATCACACTAGGTAATTGACAGCTTGTAGAATTGTTAAGGAAATGTCTGACCACCCACAAGGGCTTTAATTCATTACATCAGGAACAAGCTGGCCACAGATCTCCAGATTACTTTCCTAGAGATGTCCCCATTCCCATACTGAAATATCTGTACAACTGTGATCTGTTTTGACATCCCTAAATCAGTCGACAGACAAATGTTGCACATTTGCTGTGACAGGTTCAACCCTTTTTCTCCAGAGCAGAAGAAATGATTTGGCAATACATTGTGTATAAAATTTCCACCATGTTGGGAAATCACAATAATCTTTAACTTAGTCCTAAGTGCTGTTAGCCACTAAATGATACACCTGTCACAGGTTACTGTGTATATTTTGCTATTATGCTGCCAGGTCTGGTCACCGATAGACAAACCATAAGGCAATCACTTTTAACCCCAATGAGCACATCTGCTGGATGATGCTTGATGGCCAATTGGTCCAAAGAGCAGTACAATGTGGCAGCTTATCTCTGCTCAATAGGCAGCAATCAAAACATTTTCCAGCCTGTCCATTTACATCCCAGCAGTTGGTGCTCTTTGTGGCAGTCCTTTTGTCCCCATGCAAAGTTAGATTGTTGCATAGTTTTATAAGTCAGTGGATAGTGTGACAAACTAAATCTGTTTATGGGTTCCTTAATTCTACCGTGGCAAAGTATGTAATACAGTGACAGATGGTCTCTATATTGGGTGTATTTTTCAGTATTGGGTGAGATCTGATATTTGTCCAGTCTTCTCACAACTGCCAAGTTCCAGCAACAGCTGCATTTTTATCTTCCTAACATCAAAACACGTGCAGTAGAAGTATTGTTCTCTTGTCTCACTACATTTATTAAGCTGTGATGTAATGCATGCACCTGCAGAGGTGTGTGCAACTGCATGCAATGTTGGCCATGCACCCACATCACTAGGGAAGCTGATGAACTTCCCTCCAGCTCTCATGCTCCATCCCAGTACTCAGTCTGAAAGATGTCTGTTTAGTATCCCCACAGAAGTAGTACATTGACTCAGACAATGTTATTTTTCTGGCTACAAGAACATATTTAATTTTAACAATGGGTGTAAAAACAAAAAGCAGAATAGCTTTTATCCCTGATTCACGCCAGAGGAGCTTGAAGCTCAAAGTACCACAACTCTCAACAACCAAAATCACATGCTTTTAAATAGTGCCTGTGCACTGTATCTCGACCCCTGAAGCTCAAAAGCTACTTTTGAAGCAGAATGGGGTGTTTTTAGCCCCATAGACTTCCATTTGAATGCCTGAAAAACGCCTGACAATGGCTTCAGATGCAGCCTTAAGTAGGATATACACGGGACACATTTCAACCATTTTTTAAAATGAACAAGCTGAAATAAGCACAGTTGGTGCCACTGTTGGCACCCTTCCACCCGGCATCCCCCAATCAGCTGATAGAAGGAGCTGGTTGGAATATTCTCATCCGAATTGAGCTAGCAGCCAGTCAGCTGGCGGCCGCTGTCAGGATACAATGCAAACAGCTGTGGCTCGTCCATCAATGCTCATAAGCGTTGATGGAGGGACCTGTTCTATTTTTTTCATTCAGCTCGTGGGTTGTAAGAAAAAAATAGAATTGTGTATACCCGACTTTACCGTAACTCCATATTATATTTTGCCTTCACTTTTGCACTTGAACAGGAGACAATGTTCAGCATGCTGAAAAATCTCTGCAGCTGATGCTATCATTCGATGCATATACTGAAAATATGAGTAGTCTCAATGTAATAGATAACATGTATCTAGCAGGCTAAAACTCCAGATTAGATCAGAAGTGAAACGTCAGCATGGAGTCTCGTGTTGCCCAAGTACATTGTCGTCTATGATTACAGTTTCATTTCCGCCGCATCCTTTTATAGCATCAGGCGTAGAACTCTGAAGCAAAGTGATTTTGTGGAACAGAAAAGTATTTTGCTTAGAAAGTCTTCATTCAGTCAGTTCCTACAGATCTAGGATGGCAAAGTCTTAGGAAAGTTCAATATTTATATGTTGCAAAGCAACTGATCCTTGAATGACATCAATGTCTTGTTGTCTGGAACAAGAAGCTTAGAGCATTAGAGGTATGCTGTTGTCGCCATGACCAGCATTAGATTATATGACTTCCCCTGTAAAAGTTGTTCTCACTGTCTATATTGATATGGAAAGTAACAGCTTTTAACATCCATGCATCGTTCCCATTTTACACCTTACATGCAGGGCTGGATTAAAAGCATCCTGGGCCTGGTGCTGTCGGTCGGTTGGATGGTGTTGTATCGAATTCTGTTCCCCAGTTCAGATGTGTTTTTCCCCTGCCGCTCGGCTCTTTCCATAGCCCCACCCCTCCCTCCCTCGTAGCCCTGCATTTTTAGCTCTGTTCCCCAGTAGAGATGTGTTCCCCCTCCCACTTGGCTGTTTGCATTGCCCTGCCTCTCCTTCATAGCTTCGCATTTTTAGCTTTCCTAAAAATGTTTTACTCCTCCTGTCTCACAAGTTATACTATATATGATAGGAGTGGAGTGTCAGCTCTTGGGGTCGATACAATGACTAGAATACAGAGGGGATGTATATATTATTTATGAAGGGGTAGGTAATATACAGTATAATATATAGACCCCCTTATTTATGAAGGGGTAGGTAATATACAGTATAATATATAGACCCCCTTATTTATGAAGGGGTAGGTAATATACAGTATAATATATAGACATTTTTGTAGGAATGGCTGTGCGGCTCAGGTCAGGCCACACAGTAAATATTGTGGAATCTGGGTTGGAGGTATAGTAAGTATAACACCACTGTTAGAGAAGTGAAAATGTGGAACACTCTTCCCCAGGAAGTGGTATTAGCTTCGATAGGAGATTGATCCTGACAATTATCTGATTGTCAGTATGGAGTCAGGAAGGGATTTTTTTACACTCTTACTGCAAATATGCCTATGCTTGTAGGGTCGATCAATCAAATAACACACACACACAAGTTGAACTTGATGGATCTGCATCTTTACTAAACCTTATCTACTATGTGACTATGTACTGTAAAAAAAAAATATTCTTGGCAAAGTCTTCAGCATCTATCTACTACCTGCCTCACCTGTACATAGCATCACCCAGACTACCTTCTCTCGAAATTTCGGAAGTAAAGAGGTTTGAAGGTAAAAATGATATTGCACTCACGTGACTCTCACATCCTCTGGTTTTTTTTCCGCTTTTTGATTGTGGAGATGGAATACCCCCCCTTCCATGTCGCCCAGTGATATATTTAGTGTCAGAGCAACCAATCATTAGGCCCAGGCATTGCAACATGGGTGGCAGGAGGTGCTCAGGGTTATTATAAAACCTAGTTTAGTCACTTTGCTCACAACTGGTGTTCTCAGAACTGCATGTATTACACACGTACGTGTAGAATCCTTACATGACTCCTTTCAATGTTGCTTATACAAGCCTTTCAGCAGGGGATTGCCATTAAAATACCGGTCTGTTCCAGTATTCAGTTTCCTAGTTTCTGGTTTATAGAGACAAATAAATATCCTATTTTTTTACCATTATTTGTTATATTTTAATGTGACTGGGAACCGCTTTCATGGACATAAGATGATGTTTCTTCATTAGGGAATAATCTATTTACCAGTAGATCCTACAATATGTATGTTCTAGTTAAGTAAAAGCTTTTTTTGCATATATAATATTATAGTTTAAATATATTTTTAAAATGTGGTACTGGAGAATTGTGTACTCAGAGAGTAGAACAAATGGGAATTGAATAAACATTTGCATTTCATGGGAATTACCTCTAATTGTGGTGTCCCAAAAAGAGCTAAAACATACAAACGGGGAAGGAAGGTTTATAAAGTGTATAATAAGTAGCAAAAATCATTTGACTTAATGGAGGGTCCCCTATTGTAATTAATAGCAAAACCACGATTGTTCCCCAGAAGGGGATCCCACCATTGTTACAAAGTGTAAAAGAGCTGTTAAAACCATTTGTGCCACATGCATTTCTATTGAACCAAAGTATCATTATTACTTGTTTTAAGGAAATGTAGACTAGTATTGTGTACCTTCAGGCATGAAACTGTACCTACGTTAATAAATTACTGCTGTCTCGGGGTGCCCTTGCATAAGTTACTGTACCTAAATAACTACTGTCTCATGGTGCCTGTACATGTGAGGACTGCCTGCAGAGAATGCTTAGTTTAGACCTTCACTGGAGTGAATGAGAATGTATGGGCTGACACATACTTTCCTGCCTGACAGTTACCTGTGTGGGTATAATTCGGGGAAATGGAAGGTGTGATTGTTGAAGAACTGCATCAACATACGTATGTGACCATTCTTTTGTCCTCTGCTCTATATGGTCAATTGGTGTTTTCCTGCACAGTCCATATTGGTCAGATTAACTGCTGCCAAGAAAATGTCTTGGATGGCCTGACTCCCAGTTATTTTTACAGACTCCCAGTTTTTTTTACAGCTTTGCATCTGTATATACAAATATATACACATTTTTAGTATACTTAATTTTACTCATATTAATATTGGCACTAAGCAAAACTACTGTGTAGCT